CGCCGAGCGCCAGGGTGGCGTGGTGGTTCCCGAGACGCAGTTCCTCAAGCGCAACGGGCGCTACGAAGACGAGCACCCTTCGTACCAAGAGGTGAAAGCCCAGACTGGGAGCTTTCCAGTTAAAAACCTCACGCAAAGGAGGCCCTTGTCAGCCCGAAGCTACAGTACAGAGAGCTACGGCACGTCCCAAGCGCGGCCGGTCTCAGCGAGGCCGACCATGGCAGCTCTGCTGGAAAAGATTCCGTCAGACTATAACTTGGGTAACTATGGCGACAAGCCTTCCGATAACAGTGATATAAAGCCAAGGCCTCCCCCTGTGAAGGGAAATGAGAGCTGTGCTAAAATGCCCGCTGACTGGAGACAACAGCTACTTAGACATATAGAAGCTAGAAGGTTAGACAGGGTATGTTTGGCATTTCTCTGCAATTAATGCCTTTAGTTGTGTGTTTCGGGTATGTCAAAACGATTTGCACATGCAGTGGTGACCACCAGAATTCCCAGGGATGATATTCTCAGTGTCAGAGAAATCGGCCCAACAAGGGGGCTGGGGGTGCTCAGCTGGAGTGAGGGGTCACGGGGAAATCCAGAGGCTCTGTATGCACCTCCACGGTGCACATCACTGGGGTGGTGAGTCCTGCAGCACCACCCAAAGCAGTGACAAATAATGGCACAGAACTCCCTCCTGAGCACAGGTGTGGATGTGCTGCTGGAGCTCACCGCATCAGGAGCGACGTGAGAGCTTTGAGAGGTGCTGGGTACACCTTGGCATTGAAAGAGAATAAAGAAAATCATCACAGAGAATAATAATGATGATGTATTTTAGCTTCCATGTCGCTGTTAGTGGAGGGGGTTAAAGGTGTCTCTCAACTGAGAATTATCACTGGGTACCCACTGCCACTGTTTTAATGAGGAATATATGATCATTACTCTTTTTAGCTGTAGGAAGTTATGCTGATTTGCCTTCTATCCAATGAGTACAAGTACTTCAGTGCATGATCTCAGTCATTACCTATTTAATGACCTATTTCATGAATGCGATTTACTTCACCATCTGAAGTGGTTGTGAAAAATTGCTGTCCTGAAATGCATAACAAGTTAGCTGCAAATTTGTCCATATACCTACTTTATGCCAGATCCTCCTGAGTTCGGTGTTAATATACTCCTTGCCTTCCAGTTACTCGGATGTGATGCATATTCAGATATCCTTAAGGATCAAATGGGTAACATGGGCTCCAAGGCTGACGTGTTTTCCTCACTTCAGCCCTTTTCCTTGTCTAAAACCAATTGGAAAATACCTAATACCCAGGGAAAGTAGTGCACCCCGAGTAGGGCCATTTCTGGTGGAAATAAACACTTCCCAGGTGTTGCTTGTTTAACAAATGTCTTTCCACTTAGTTTATAATGTGTATTAAGGAATACTTGACCTATGGAAAGCTGATTCTGCCTAGTTCTGCTGAGTTGGCAGTGATCCCTGAGAGCTAGTTACCACTGTTGCAAAACTCCAAGGAGTTGGGCTGCCTGGTGGAGGCTTTGCTGGGGAGAACACCAGGTCACTGCCATGGAGCAGCTGCTCCAGGAGAAGCCTCTGCCCCTCGGGTCTGCACAGGACCTGTGTCCCTGCCATGATGGGCCAGGCCAGGCCAGGCCAGTGCTTGTCCCCTGTGGGCAGCTGGTGGCCAGGGAGCAGGTGCCACGCTGCCAGGATGGGGCAGAGCCTTCTCACCCAGGGTTTTCTCCTCTGCCTTTGGTGCTCCTTGATGCTAGATCCATGTTTCTGGCCATGGGGTTGCACAGCTGAACCACAATTTGGCCGTACTTGCAAACTAAAGACTTGTACCATGTGCTATAGAACGACAGATACCAACATATCTCATCTGCTGTCAGCGTGGAAGTCGTTTCTGGTATCCATTTTATGTACAACGAGCAATGTACTTGCTTTGTGTGACCCAGTGCATGCCTTGAGGAGCTATTGATTTCTTGGTACTGTTTGTTTGCTTAAACTGAAACTCTGTGAACTTAACCATATATATGTGTGATACTTGATTCGATGAGCATGTGTGTTCATATCTGTCACGTGGTTGTTTCCTCTACTCAGACCGCTGCTTACAAACACCACACAGTTAGCCTTGGCATGCTGCACTCTGGAGGGGTTTCAGCAATGCATGCCGGCCGAAGCATGACTTTAAACTTGCAGACTAAATCTAAATTTGAAAGCCAAATGCTTCAAGAGCTACCTCTACCGAAAGTAAGTATGGGCTAGCCAGCATTCCCGGCATTCCGAATGAATTAACGATCCTCCTTGCTTCCTCCTGGTTTAGCTTTTGCCTATGACTCGTGCTATACCCAATCCAAAAAGCAAGGCTGGCAGTAAGAGGGTTTTCCTCCTTGCTTTTTGGATTCAGGAGCTCCCATGGCTGTCATTCCTGAAGCTGTCCCTGACCGGTGCCATCATCTTCTCAACCTGTGCAGGGAAATGGGGGACATGGGTTGCTTAGAAAACTGAATGTAAAAATGTTTAGTGTGCGTTTAAATAGGCTCCAAGAGACAGAGAGTTTAATATCTGAGCATTAATTGGGGCTGCTGTAAGAGCTGATGAGCTTCGAGCATTAATTGGGGCTGTAAGAGCTGATGAGTTTTGACCGGTGCCATCATCTTCTCAACCTGTGCAGGGAAATGGGGGACATGGGTTGCTTAGAAAACTGAATGTAAAAATGTTTAGTGTGCGTTTAAATAGGCTCCAAGAGACAGAGAGTTTAATATCTGAGCATTAATTGGGGCTGCTGTAAGAGCTGATGAGCTTCGAGCATTAATTGGGGCTGTAAGAGCTGATGAGTTTTGAGCACGTTCCTATCACACCCAAACTCACTTCAAACTTTAGTTCAGTAACACCTATAGAAAGAGAACAATTCCCTCATTTATTTACTGTTTATCTTAGAGCTGTTACTGATATATACAAGCACAGATGTAGGAGACTGTATCCAAATAGAAGCTTGAAAGGAAAAGCAGGCCAGAGAGGGAATTTGCTACAGGATTTGCAGAGAGGAGATGCTGAGACCTCTCTCTGCATCCTTGTGGCCACAGGGCACAAGGCAGCAGAGTTTAGGAGGGGCAGGCATGGAATCATCAAGGTTGGAGGGGACCTCTAAGATCATGAAGTCCAACCATTCACCTGTCACTGCTGTAACCCCTAAACCATATCCTCCAGTGCCACATCCAGACACCTCTTAAACACCTCCAGGGATGATGACTCTACCACCTCCCTGGGCAATATCCCAGTGCCTGACCACTCTAACATGGACAACATTTCTCCTAACATCTCCTCTGACTCTGCCCTGGCTCAGCTCAAGGCCATTCTCTCTAGTTCTCTCCCTGTAGCCGTGGCAGGAGAGATACTTTCAGGTAGTTGTAGAGAGCCATGAGGTCACCTCTGAGCCCCTTCTCAAGGCTAATAAAACCCAAATCACTCAGCCCTTCCCCACACAATATGTTTTCTAGCCCTAGCATGGCTTAGCCTCTCCCTGCTTTGGCAGCAGGAGCTGTTGGGACAAATTAGCAGCATCTCTGAGTAATTAAGGGGTAGCAGAGCAGAGCTCCAGGCGCTGTGAGGGGATCAGCTGTGCTGGTAATTGCCAAGCTGGCAGGAATGGCCTGGCCTGGCTCAGATCAGCCCTGGCCAGAAATTCCCAAAGGAGGGTTCCAGTGCCCTGTTTCACAGCTTAGCTCCAAGGCTGTCCAGAAGAATAGGCTGATTTAATGGCACAGCCAGAGCAGATTGTGCTGGCTGGCCAGAGCACAGCCCTTAGCCCTGCTCAGCTCACTGATGCTGCAGATGCATCCCATGCTGGAGTTCCAGGCAGAGCTGAGACAGGTTACAGCACACACAGGGATCAGTGTCAGGCTCCTCTTGCTGCAACTGATTCCATACTGTCACCTCCATCGCCACCTCCCATCAGCTGTCCCCGGGTTCCCCGTCGTGCGCTCAGTGTGTGCTTCTCTGTTGTTGGGTGGATGGCAGCGAGGTCAGGCCCCGCTGTGTATGTGTGTGTTGGACACAGACAGCCCTCCAGTGTTGTCTTTGCTTTCAGAGACCTTGTTTGTCTACTTGGGTACATCCCAGTTCTTGTCATGAGTCCATTTGGCATCAACCCCAAGTCATGGTGCTGGTTTTATACACACATTAGCACTGAGGTATTTTATAGCACTTGCAGGGGTTTAGGCTGTGGATGAATGTGGATACTAATATATGATGTCTGAGAAATCACAGAACTGTTCAGAGTGTCATATTTTGGAGTAGGAAACTGATGAAACTGTTCATAGTGACATATTTTGCGGGGTGGTCTGATGTGGGTTGTTCCGCTTTCACCAGCATCCCATTGCTCCATGCCCATAGAAACTCTGGTGCTGACCTGCATGAAGGGTTTTTTTCTCTGACTGTACTGTTTGGGAAGCAGGGGGGATTATTGCTGTTGAACAAATGTTGTGAATATTTAGGATTGTTGAAGTTTATACCTTCATGTGTTCTCAAGAATTTGCATTTCTTAATGAATCCAAGCCACAGCAGCTTAGTATTTGCCTCTTCTTCTCCCGCCCTCCTGTGGCCTGGATTCAGGAGAGTAATGAGTGAGGTCTGGCTGTCCAGTTGGGCAGCCAGGATATCAAGTTTAGAAATTCCTCATACTGAGAATGTTTATTGCATTGATTCTACTCCATGTAGAAAATGTTTGCAGTGCTGCTTTTCATTTCTCACCCAGATGGATGTGGAGCTTGGCTTCAGCCTGTCCAGGCTCAGGAAATGAGCAACATTGCCAGGGGACAAATTGGACAAATCCCTTTTGCTGCAGAAAATGCAGTCACAGAAATTCCCTGTTTGCTGAGGAAGCAGAAAGCGCCTTCTATGTTTTTTTCTCTTTCACTCCTGAGTGCAAGGTCCTCTCTGCAGACCAGTCAGGTGCAGGGACACAGCCCAGCACGTCTCAGTGGAATCCTTTCCATTTATCATCCACCTCACAGGTGGATTAAAGTCTATGGCTTGGTGCACTCCATCCTCAGCAGTGTGCATGGCCACCTCCCATGAGGAATAACAGCCATGTGGGGAGGAAAGCAGAGATTCCCTCGGGAATGAGCTTGGCTAACCCTCTCTCTGTGTATGGTCCATGAGCTGATCTCTCAGGATGAGAAGATTCCCAGCACAGGCTCCATGTGCAGCTCCAGAAGGGACAGCTCATTTTTCTGTCTTAATGGGCGTAAAGAAAAGTCCAAGAGAGCTCTTGGACTTTTAACCGGGAAATGTTTTTCCATTGTTTTTTAATAGAAGCAAAATCACAACTTTCATGATTTTTCTGGTAAACTTCTTGAATGCTGAAAGAACAATGATGGAAGTTTCCTTTCATCTTAAATAGGGTTGATTTTTTTTTTACTTGTATGATTTAAATCACAATTTACTTCTATTTGCTTTTAAACTTCCCTTACAAATAGTTTTTCTTTGACAAGTTCCTTCTTGTTTCAAAGAAAATTGGATTTATTCTTCAGCCACCTCAAGAAGTGTATCAGGATTTTTTTTGAATCAAGAAATTGCTTGAATGACAGAGGGGTAAAACAGACATTTTTTGTTCCTTCGCAGATTATAATGAATCTATTAATTACTCACTAAGCGGTTCCCTGAATGAGCCAAGTGCTGGCAGTGGTAGCACAATGTTGGGATTCTGTGAACTCGTTAGGAAAAGTAATACAGAACCAAATAAGAGAAAATCAGTAGCCACATCCCCCAAAGTCCTGAACACAGGAGTGAACTGAACAGGGGGAAAGTGACAAGCAACAAACATAATAGGAGAGAAAAGGGAAGGATAATAATATCTAGGGAACTTTAAATGTATTAGGGACATCTATTCAGGAAAACATTTAATTACAGGCCAATATTGTACTTATAGTATCCTGTCGGCTTAGGACAATGCAGCCACAGCCTGGAGAGGTGTGTGAGCCACACACTCAGCTCAGTGCAGGGTCTGAGCAGTCACAACCTCACTATTGCCATCAGGGAATGTTTTCTGCACAAAATAGAAACATGTCCTTTATCTTGGTGGCAAATACTGAACAAAAAGAGGTTTTGCTGCTTGAGTGAGCAGAAAGAAAGTTCAGGTTTGATGACTAATGCCAGACTGCACCTTTAAATGTGGGATTTGGCCTGAATTTGTTCCTCTGACAATAATGAGTTATGTTAAATGAATTTTCTCTTTCCTCTCGTCATTCATTATTCTCATTACTTCTCTCCTGTACCTTCCAAGACCTCCTGCTTGCACAGAGCCCCTCAGCACTGCGATTCCATGCTAGTGCAATGCTGTGCAAGCCTCAGAGGGTCTCTGCTGTAGTCATAGTGTCTTGCAATTTAACTGGGTTGCTCCCTGCAATAAATATGAGCAGAGAGAGAGAGAGAGAGAGAAAGTGAAAGAATTTTGTGTGCTGCTGTGCCTGGTGACTAAAGGCTGCCCTACCATTTCTGCAACAGACCCCATCGCAGCAGAGCAGCATCCTGGACAATGGGCAGGAGGAGGTGGCCGTGGGCAGCCAGTGGAACCCCTACCCACTGGGACGGCGCGACGTGCCCCCCGACACCATCACCAAGAAGGTAAGCAGTGCCCCAGGGTCAGCAGGGCTGGGGGGGCCTCCTGCTCCCAGCACCACTGCAAGGAGGAAAATGGCTACTTTGGGAGTTGCCTGGTTTTGTCTCAAGGTTGCATGAGTTAAGGATGGTGTTTCATGCCATGTTTCATGTTTCTTTATGCCAATGGTTATGTCTCTAGTGTGTGCAAGGGCACATTGGCTTGGCAGGTGTATTTCTGTCAGCCCTCAACTCCCTCTTGTCCTGCAGAGGCTCATTCAGCTGTTTGATTTCAATGTCATTCTGCACTTCATGAAATGTGATAGGATGGCACTAGCCCAGCCCTGGACAGGCACAGCCCTGAGATATAGAAGCACAAGACTGCATCCAAACAAAAGCTTGAAGGGAAAAGCACACATGGCAGGCCATAGAGGGAATTTGCTGCAGTATTTGCAGTGTCAGAGAGGAGACGCTGAGATCTCTCTCTGCATCCTTGTGGCCACACAATGACATGAGCTGACAAACTCACTAGAAATAGGTCTGATTTCTGGTACCTTGTGGTGGATGTTGAATGATAGTGCTTGGAGCTGTGCAGACACTGGCTGCTCCCTCCCAGCCCCAGCTTGGCTCAGCTCATTGAAGACCTGCCAATTGTGGCTGCTCTAATCATAAACTGGAGAGTAGAGGATCCTGACAAACCCAGTTTGCAGTCAGTGTTAGGAGGAGGAGCTGCACACAGGAGCTGTGATAATTACAGTTGTCTGCATGGAGATCTGTCCTGCTCATCCCTGGAGTGAAGTCCTAGGAGTGAATAACATCAGTGTGAAAGGTATAATGTGCACACTGATAACTGCTGTGTGTAATTAACCATCAGCGCTGAAGAGGAAAGATCTCCCTGATGGATTCACAGCTCTTACCAAGGCACTTCCAGGAGCAGCAACCCTTGGCTTCAAAGTGCAACCAGAGGTACACATGGACAGAACTGCTGGAAGATGGGAGATGAAAATTGCACCTAGAGCAGTCCAGAGACACCTCCCAGGTACAGGAGGAGGTAGAGGAGGAGGAGGAAGGTGCCTTGATGGTGTGTGGTGGAGCTGGCTCTGACAGCCAAGATATTTATCCTCTGATGTGCAAGAAATTAGGATGAGAAATGCAAGAGGAACCACTGCTTATCTTCGTTGGCATTTTGGGGTCAAACCTGTCCACTCCCCCAGTCTGACACCCTCAGTGTGTTGCATTTCTGCCACGTCAGTGCTGCTACAATAAAACCTGCAGGTTCTGAGTGTGTCAGTGTCTCACTGTTCAGCTGTGGTAAGTACAAGCATTGCATAACCCAAGTGCAATCTGCTTCACTCAGTGGAGCAATCCATCAGCTCATCCCCTGTCAGCTGCCTCAGCTATACTGTAAATATTGGACACTGAGCTGGAAATAATTAACTTTTGTGGTGTATGTTAAGTGAAGAATACAGATGGAATTGGGGAAGCAATCTGCATAACAGAGATTCCTTTCTACAGAATAAATAATTCCCATTTCCAAGGGAAGCAGCTTATCCACCTTCACCAGAGCTGTGGGATGAATGCACAAACAGGAGTGATAGGATCTGCTATTAGCAGGAGGGAGAGAATGAATTCTGAGACCTGTTTGCCCACCTTCTTCAGCAGGTGGTTTGCAATGTGCTGCTGTGACAACACTCATCCCCTCTCCATGGGAATTCACCTCCAGTGTCTGCTTCAGCACCTGGGGATGAAAATTCAGCAACTCTTTGAAGGCATTCAGAAGAATCTTCTATAGGAATAGAGTTCAACATAGCAAAAATTAAGTGATGTCAATATAACGTGTAATAGATGTTTTGGTTTCCCCCCACCTAAGAGTCTTGGCATGGTGCAGGGCAGAGTCACTGTGTGCTAGAGCTGTGCTTGGGAAATCATGGGAAGAAGAGGTGGGAGTTGTGCTTCCAGGGGGAAGAGAGTGTTCTCTAGCTGGATGGACTGTGCACTCATGCTGATGTAGAATCATAGCATTATTTGTGTTGGAAAACACATCTGAAATCATCAAGTCCAACCATTAACCAGTGTCTACATAACCATATATAGGCACTGTAATTGCCAAATTACCCCCACATGGAGCTACTCCGTGTGTAGTGATGATTCTTCCTGTCACTGGGTAGTGTGGGAATGCTGCAGTCATCACCACTTCATTCTCTGGGCTGTGAGTGGTTGTTTCAGTCCTTTTTGCTGTTCAGAAAGCAGATTAAATGCCAGTTTTGTTTTAATCATCATCGTTTATGTGATCATCACATAATTTATGGGCTGTTTCCCTGCTGGAAGAGTTGGATATTTTCATCTCCCAATTGAATAATGTACTGATTTATCCAAAGACTATTAAAAGGCAGGAATCATGCTTCCTGGAGGATGACTTTTTCTGTCAACAACTCAGAAATCTCTACATGCCTAATGCAATCAGTTGTACTCTGAGTTTGCTGCTCCTCCACAACAAGGGAAGAGGTAAAAGTATGGTGAGAGCTCACCAAATGACAACTTGGAGATGATTTCTTGTGAAAAATGGAGGCTGCAGAGTGAGGATGAAGTTGCAAAGTGAACAATAGGTCTGAACACCTGGTTGGAGGGTGATGACCCTGTCAGAGGATGAGCTACAGGGCTTGGGATGTGAAGGACTGTGTTGGCCTTGTCTGTGGTGGGGTTGCAGCAGCACATGTGGAAGCTGGAGCCATGCAGCTCCTGGAGATCCCTGGTGGGCTGAAATGGACTCAGTGGATGGGGAAGGAGCATGTGCTGTGGAACCAGGGCAAGGCAGTGCCTCAAGAGGGGATATATACAGGAGTCTGAGTCACCACTGCTCTCCCTTCCTGACCTGTCAGCCAACAGAGAGGCCAGAGGCTCCTTCTGCTCCATTTCCATTATCTGCTGATCAATTTCACCTGATAGAGAAGATCTGAGGTTTGCAGTGAAGAAGCACAATGTGTTTTGCATTTGAAATAGACACCTTCCTGGAGGCACACAGTGCACCTGCTGTGGTGGATATGGATTACAGCTGGGGCAGGGAGCAGGACTGGAAAGGTTATGCCTTCCTGGGATCCTCTCATGATGAGCATGACACAACAGTGAGTACAGAACCATGTGGGACATGGTCATCTGCTCACCTTCCACCTCCACAGAGCAGGGGGACATGGATTCAGCAATCCTTTGTGGCCATGGAGGTGATGAATGGGTCAAACTCATTCTGGACCATTTTTCTTCCCTCCTGATCTTGGTTGAACTGAAGATCTCTCTTCAACAACCAATTCATTCCAAAGCCCTGGCTGTGATCACTCCCAAGGGCACATGGGTAAGAAAAGTTCTGATCTTTTGCTGTATCTAATTTAGTCTTATCTAAAATACAATATCACAATTGCTGACCTAACCAGGATCATAAAGTGCTGAGGGTTTGACCTTCATGGTGAGATGTAGTTGTGTCATTGGTTGGTGTAAACTAATGTGAAATGCTGTTTATTCAGGTCTGGTTTGTCCATAGAGACTTGCAAATATTAAGACTCACAATCCTAATGCTCTGTCACACTCAGGCTGGGCAAATAGCACAGCTTGGGGGGTCCATGGAGTCTGAAAACTCAGCAGCAATGGTGAGATATCCCATGGAGGTGATAATTGATCACAGAACATTCCCTTGTGGAGAAGTTGTGTGTGATCATTTATAACCCACAGCACCTGGACACTGGAAACACGAAAAGCATAAAAATGTCTCAAGTGAGTTTATTTTGCAAAGAGTTGCCTCAAATATTTATGTCATTCATGAGACTGTGTTGAAGATTGAGCAAGTTTGTAACTTCACCGTGCCAAGGACAGAACAGGAAAGCAAACCTCACCTGGCAGGGCCCAGGGGCAAGGGAAAGGGATGGGATGGAGGGGACAGAGAATGACAGCAGCCACCCTTGCTTGGATGGAAGTGCCACAAGGCCACATCCATGTAAATGCAATATTTCATGTGTTTTACAAGATACTGGAGCTCCAAACAGGTGATGTTAGCACAAGAGTTTGATGAGTTACATTCTGCAAAAGCAATGTTTGGGCCTAGGACAAGGTGTGGGATGTGACTGATGGGACTTTCCATACAGGGCACAGTACTGGTCAGGCACTGGAATGTTGCCCAGGGAGGTGGTAGAGTCACCATCCTTGGAGGTGTTTAAGAGGATCTGGTGCTGGAGGATGTGGTTTAGAGGATACAGCAGTGACAGATTAGTGGTTGGAGTTGATGATCTTGGAGGTCTCCTCCAACCTTCATGATTCTATGATTGTATGACTCTCCTGTATCTGTATATGTACTATAAGCCTTATTCCAAACTATCCTCAGGAAAACCAAACTTTCCCATATCTTCAGAGTGGGCTATGGTGAACAATCCATCCCACTTCAATGTATCAACTGTTTTCAGTTCACACCACACCCTGAGCAGAAGCAAAGACATGACATGAGGAGATAAATACCTTGTGCTTGTCAAACTTACCATAAATAGCTGATTTTCCCCAGCCCTCTCAGGTCTATGGGCATGTCCTTGCTGCTTTCCTCGTGGTTCTCCCAGCTGGGCCCTGAAGGCAAACCTCTGCTGGGGCTGAAGAGGTTTGCTGGTACCTGAGTCTGTAAGTTGTAATAATTGTTCTTTTCAGCCTCCTGAATTTCTGGCCTAACGGGTTACGTTACCCACAGGCAGGTAGCCACATCCAGACCCTCATGGGATCCCAAAGCCTGCAGCATCGGAGTCGGGAGCAGCAGTACGAGGGGAGCATGAACAAGGTCACCATCCAACAGTACCAGCCACCACTGCCCATCCAGATCCCCTCCCAGAGCTCTCGAGCCCCCCAGCCAGGGAGGTGTCTCATCCAGACCAAGGGGCAGCGGAGCACGGACGCTTACCAGGAGCAGGTCAGGCACTGTGGCTGCACAGGGACACCTGGGCAGAAATATTCTGCTGGTTTCCAATGTGGCTATAGCAGGAGGAAAGCCTGGGCAGGAATGGGGCAGCTGAGATAGGCAGCCCAGGGGAGCTCTGGCTGGACTGTGGGAGCTCTGGCTGGGCTGGGAGAGGTCTGATGGAGCTGGAGGAGCTCTGGTTGGGCTGGGGGAGGTCTGATGTGGCCGGGAGAGCTCTGGCTGGGCTGGAAGAGCTCTGATGGAGCTGGGGGAGCTCTGGTTGGGCTGGGGAAGCTCTGATTGGACTGGGAGAGCTCTGGTTGGACTAGGAGAGCTCTGGTTGGGCTGGGAAAGCTCTGGTTGGACTACAAGAACTCTGGTTGGGCTAGGGGAGCTCTGGGGGAGCTCTGGTTGGGCTGGAGGAGCTCTGGCTGGACTGGGGGAGCTCTGGTTGGACTGAGAGAGCTCTGGCTGGGCTGGGGGCAGGCTGGGGCCATCCCTTTTCCCAGCACCAGCCAATGGTACCCATTTATTCTTGCATTGCCCAAGCGACACCATTTGGCACTGAAGTTCCTAGCAAAGCTGACATCACTGGGTCATACCCAATTAATTTGCAGCTTCTGCCTCTTCCCCAGTAACCCAGTCCAGTGCTACTAGGGCAGGGGCTCTGGCAGACACTGATTGCTCAGACCTGCCCAGCTGCAGCCTCAGTGCCCCCAGCCTGGCACAGGCACTGATGAGTTTCTTCATTAAGTGCTCCTGTCCCCAGTCTACTTGGCCTTGGTGCCTGCAAGACCTGTTTGAGGCAGGTGCAGAACCATGAGGAAACCTTTCTCCTGTGTAGTGTTGGTTGAGCCATGTGAGCAGCTGCCTGTGTTATATCCCTGAGTGCTGCACTGGGATGCAGCAGCTATTGCTGGTGTGGCTTGAGGACGTGGTCAGCCTGGGTCACTGAACAGTCATAAAGCTCTTCTGAAGTCATTTTTATCTTATATTCAATTACCTGTTTAGACTCATCCTGACTAAAAGAGAAGGCTCAGCACTATTTCCTGGAGTAGGAGTGGTTGGTGCTCAATGCAGCCCGTAGTTCTGAGCCTTGCAATGCTCCAAAGATCCCTGAGCTTCAGAGTATTGATAAATGGCTTTGCCCCAGAGGTGCTCCATATGTGACCCCTTCTGGGAGAAGAAAAGTGCCTAAGATGAAGCCTTACTTACAAGTTTATCCAAATGTTTAAGTGAAAAAATTTGGCCAATGTGAAACTTCAAGGGGGGGGGTTTGTCCTTGAAAATAGCACTTTAAAATCCAAACAAAAATCCATGTGTGGATGTTATGGCATCACTGTAGAGTGCTAAAATCATCCCAGTATTCAGCTGGTTTCCTGTCCAGTGCAGTGCAGGGGATCAGCTCATCCCTCTAAAGGAGAAGGATGTGTGGGAAGGAGGTCCTGTGCTTTAGGCAAGGCTTCATGTTGGCATCCACTTACCTTGCCTTGTCTTTCTCACCTAGTTTTGTGTGAGGATAGAGAAGAATCCTGGCCTTGGGTTTAGTATCAGTGGTGGAATAAGTGGACAAGGAAATCCATTCAAACCTTCTGATAAGGTAAGTTGGAAATTCTCTCTACCTGGTCCTGATTTTAGTGTAAAGACCTAAAGAGTGGAGACCTAGAGAACATGAGGGAGATGTTTATGCTCTTCTGTTGTGATAATTGAGAGATTTCCCTCCACACTTGGGTTATTTTTTGGTTAGCAGTGTCATTTGCTTTTGTTTCCTAGTTAAAGAAGAGGAGGGAATCAAACCCCAATCCCATGGGTGTCTGACACATATTCATATTCCATGTGTAAGATGATTTTTCAGGCTGTTTTCTGGAGAATCTTCTCTCTCACTTTAAGCCCTGATTAAACTCTCACTAAAATCACTAGAGGGAACACTAACCCAGTGGTAGCATCACTGGGGAACTGAAATGCTGAATGCCAGAGGCTGCTGCATCCAATAAAACCAGCTTGGCCTGCAAACTGGAGCTCACTGGAGCCTCCCAGACCCCATGCCAGTAGTTGTCTGTTGTACTGGGGATCAGAAATGTCACTGTGAGGTATATGGTGCTCAGGGAGACTCAGGATCCATTCTAGGAATTGCACATCCAAGATAAACCTCTTTGCAGTATAAGGAAGAGTAGGAAAACTACAACATCTGGTGATTCCCAACTCCCAGGGCTGTAGGGTTAGGAACTGGATGCTTAAACCTGTGAATTTGTCTGTTTGGTGCTATGAAATCGAGTGGAGTTTGTTGAAAAATGAGCACTTTGGGTATCTTTTGTTAAACATGTTCTTGGAGTGGATGTTCTTTGATAATCCTGGATTGAGCTTGCAGAGACAGTCAGGACTTCCATGAATATTGAGGAAGTTTGGCAAATGATGAAATTAAAGCTGTTTTTTCATCTCTTCTCCAAACCTGAGATCTGCCTGCAAATTAAAGCAATGAATTACAGCAGAGAACTAACTGGCAATGTAAAACACACTTGGAAATATCAATCTGGCACATTCTTGGGCTATGGAAGGTGTCCCTGCCCATGGCAGGGGATGGGATGAATTGGGGTTTAAGGTCCTTCCAACCTAAACTATTCCAGGAGTCTGTGATTTAGTTTCCTCATTGCTAATCCCTGTGTCAAAATTCAGAGTAGTTCCATGTAATGTCCATAACTCCCAGGCATTTGAACTATTATCCTGTAAAACTTACCCATTTTTTGTGCCTTTGGGACTGCACATTAGAATTTACTTTATATCATCCTAGCCTTGTCTCCTGCAGTTTTATGTGTGATGGTAGAATTAAGCTGGACCTGCACTGGCTGAAGTGACTGATGGAGTGTCCCTGTCCCACTCTGGATGTGGCAGGAACAGCTGTCAATAGAATTGGGTTTCCCAATCACAGCAAGGCCAAGCTGAGTGCGATGGGAGTGGAGAATAGTGGAGGAATTCATAGTTTAAAGGGTTTTGATGTGTTGTTGCTCTGAAGCATCACTTCCCACACTGTGACATCAGACTTACCATGGTTTAAAGATCAGAGAAGTGCTGATGGTGCTGGGATGGGAGGACAGGAGAAGGCATGGAGCACACAGAAGCCACAAGTCATTTCAGACAGCAAACTGCTGTCACAAGTGAATGGCACAGGGATGAGGTTTCAGCAGCCCAAGGAGGAGTTAAACTCCTGAGGAGCTTGGGGCTTACAAGGTTAACAGGAATACTGGGCAGGGCTTTGCTCCAGAAGGCTGTAAAATCCCTCAGGGACACACATGACTTTCATGGTGATGCCAAGCAGGGATTTCCCTGGTGCTCCTGAGCAATGGGCATGCTCCTATCTAGCCCTGGAGTCTGGCCAAAGGGATTCCCTTGGAGCAGGGAGAGCACAGCACAGAGGCTGAGGGTCCAGTACAGATGAAATGTGTGGGACATCGTTTAATGTGGTCATCAATTAGGAAATCAACCTTTGATTCGGGGTTTTATTGATGTATTTTGCTGAAATTCTGAAAGCAAGTCTAAGACTATCCTTTATTATTAGTAACTTTTCCTCTTTCACAGCCGTTCATTGCTCAGACACTGGACTGATTGTCTGTCCCACAGCCTGTGGCTCTGAGGATCTCAAGGGCTGAATATCAACTGCTTTTTAGACATTCTTGAAACATTTTTGATTCCTAGAGGAAGCAAACACAACTTAATGCCCACCTGATGAACCTGTTGCCATTAACCTATTCATACTGGGCCTGATTTTGTCATGTGGAATCTTAGATTCAAACAACCCACAACTCTGTTTCTCAGGCGATAACTAGCTGAAGGTCACAGAGAGCTACTACAAACCCAGACTAGTGTGTGATTGCAGATTAAACCCAGAGTGTGGTGTTCAGCACCACTGCCAGAGTATATATAGCCCCCAGCTAGGGAAACACCTGTATTTTGGGATGTAGTGCTTGGAGATAGCATCCTAACCTGTGTTACTTCTGACTTATAGGGTATCTTTGTTACTAGGGTTCAGCCTGACGGCCCAGCCTCCAGCCTGCTCCAGCCCGGCGACAAGATCCTCCAGGTATGCTGCCTTGGCTGCTTTGGGACTCAGCTCAGGCTTGCAAGGGCAGTGATGGTGGTGCAGGAGGAGTTAACTGCCAGTTGGGTTGTTACGGGTCTTTAACTCTGATTTATAGCAGTTGCTCACAGGAATTTATGCCCAGGTAGCCAGGAAGGTCAATGGCACTTGGCTTGTGCCTGCATTGGTGTGGGCACACCTGCAGGGCAGTGCCTGTCCCCTGTGCTGGCACTGCTGAGGCACCTCCAAGCCTGGATTCAGTTTTGGGCCCCTCACAACAAGAAAGACATTGAGGGGCTGCAGCATGTCCAGGGAAAGGAATGATGCTGGGAAGGGGCTGGAGCAGACAGGGTGGCTGAGGGAGCTGTGGGGCTCAGCCTGGAGAAAAGGAGGCTCAAGGGAACCTTCTTTCTAATTAAATAAACTATATTTGATTGTATTAAGCTGGGAAAAGTGAGCTCTTTCTCACTAGTGCTTGGCTGCCTTCCCCTGTGCCATGTCAGCCCAGTGCCAGCCCAGTGCTGTTCCAGTGCTGCACTGGAGCTCACAGCAGCCAATGCCTTGGAGCCAAACCCCTCGAGTGGCCAAAAAGCACCACCCCACCAGCAGGCTCTGGTCAGACACTCCTCACAGTGTGTGCACAGGGGCAGGATGTGACCTTCTGGGGGCTCTGGCAGCCTCTTTGTGACCCTTGTCCCATGTCCCCACTGCTGGGCTTTGAGCAGTGAGCTCCAGGAGTGAAGGACAGGGGGTTTTCCCAGTGTTTCAGGAAGGGAACAGGGAGCTTTGATGCAGGTGAGCATTTCCCAGACATGTGCCAGCCCTGCAGTAGGGCCAGGACAGCCAGAGCTCTTCCATGGCACCTCAGGAGCAGGCTGGAAGCCAACAAGGGTGGCCAGAGTCAGGAGTGGCAGTGGTACCTGATCCCCTTCCCAGGCTGTATCCGTTATCCTGTGGAGTGGTGGATATCCTTGGGCTTATTGATCACACTCAGCTGTGGGTAATTATGATTAAAATGTGACTTTTAAAACCACATCGTAACAGACAAGTGATAGAGATTTAATTCAGTTTATTCTGTGTGTGTGTCTCTGTCAGAGCAGAGCTCACCCTGCCTGTGCAGCCAGCACAGCACTTGGCAGGGTGGGAAACTTCCATCCCAGAGTTATTCCTTCCTTAGAAACCACACTAAACATCCCAGAATGATTTCAGTGGGAAGGGAGTCCTGAAGACATCCAGTCCAGCCCCTGCTCCAAACCAGGGCACAGGACCTGTCTGACAGAGGATGAGATGTGTGCTCTGTTTGTGGGAAATCCTTATGTTTGCTTATTCATTTTAGCCTCACTTTTAATTCCCATTCTCACATCCCTTTGCTGCCCCAAAATGAAGCCACTAGCCATCCTCTTCATCCCCTGTGAGGACAGGCTGAGGAAGTTGGGGCTGTTCAGCCTGGAGAAGAGAAGGTTGTGTGGAGATCTCAGAGCAACCTGCCAGGGTCTCAAGGGACTCCAGGGAACCTGCAGAGGGACTCTATTAGGAGCTGCAGTGACAGGACAAGGAGCAACGGGGATAAATTGAGGGAGGGGAAATTTAGATGAGATATTAGGCAGATGTTTTCCCTGTGAGGGTGATGAGACACTGGCACAGGTTGGCCAGGGAGGCTGTGGCTGCCCCAATCCTGGCACTGTTCATTCCAGGTTGGCTAAAGCCTTGAGCAACTTGCTCTGGTGGGAGGTGTCCCTGCCCAGGGCAGGGGGTTGGGGCTGGATCATCTCTAAGC